TCTTCTTAGTTGTCCAGGTAAAGTCACCATGAGTCAAGCGGACAGAATACAGAGTGCAGGTTCCCACCTGGAGGTTTGAGGAGCTGAATGGATGTTCCCTGCTTGGGACACAGCCCCAACTCTGGCCAGTTCTTCCTTCACCCCCGCCCCTGGTGCCAGCCCAGCTACCTTGGATCCACTGGTGTATCTTTCAGTGCCCACCACCTGGGCTGTGACAGGAACCCCAGGGGCGAACACCAAGGGGTGCATTTTCAGAGGCTGAAGGTCATAGATGGCCAGAAAGGGGTGCATCCGGTCAGCTAGAAGGAAAGAAAGTGGAAGCGTGTAGACTCCAGGAGGTCTTAGCCCCCTCTTCCTCTTCGCCCCGAGGGTCATCCTCCTTGTGTACCTGGGTCCTCTCCCTCTTTCAGAGTGTCCACCTCATCTGGCTCCATCTGTAACTGGCTGGAGTCCAGGTCGCCCCCAGAAAGGAAGAGGCTCTCTGGGTTAGCCGTCATCCTAGGAGTATGGGAAAGCCTCAGAGAAATGATCTGCCCTGCAGAACTCTGCTCCCTATCCCACCCCGGCGCTTCTCCACTTCCCACAGGTCCCCCTCTTACTCACCGGCCTAGCTCCTGGTAACTTCCAGTTTCTCTCGGATTGTGGCCCAGCATCTGCCAAGCTCCACCAACCCGCCTCTAACCTCCATCCCCTACCTACCTCGGTCCTTCACCCAGAACCCCTTAACCCCGCCTCCCGTCCCGTAGTCAGGGGCACGCAGCCAGGAACACCAAGCCAGTCCCCGATGGCTCTGAACTGGGGCAGAGCAGAAGCCAGGGAAAGGGAACCCGGGGTCGCACGGGGCCGGGAACCACCGGGACTCAAGCTAGGCCGGGCAAGCTGGGAAAGGTGGTCCTTGCGGAAAAGAGGAAGTTACGCGCTCCCCGCCTGGGAGGGAAGCCCCAAAATCAGAGCGTGCAGCTGAGTCAGGAGGCCCGGCAGCCCGGGCTCGTTCCGGACCCCGCCCGACTTCCTGGGCCCGGGTCCTTCGCGGCGCCCACTCCCAGGTCCCCTCACCCTGGCAGCCCGAGCCAGCTTCGCCGCAGGGTAGCTTGCAGAGGGATCGGAGAAGAGTTGGAGCTGGAGCCCACACCCCAGCGAACCGGGGCGGGGCGGCGCTCAGGGCCTGCCCTCGGGGGCGGGACGGCCCCCGCCTCACCTCCGCGGGATTCTCGCCTGTTCCGTTCCGCCTCCGCCACCATCTGTCCAGCCTGCTCCGCCGCCCTGCATGCCGTCCTTGGTCCGGGGGTCACCTTCTGCGCTGTGGGTCTTCGCGGCTGGTTCGGTGCGTCTGTCGGTCCCGCGCCGTCGGTCCAGCTGTGCCCTGCTGCCTCCCTGTGGGCGCTCGACGCCGCGCGCTTCACCCCGCCTTGATGCTGTCCCTGGGCCCTTTCCGGCCTCTGGCGAGACGCGCCTCCGTGGCGGGGACCGGCGGGGGCACCCTTCCAGGGCGGGCAGTGAACCACGCCGCGCCTGTTTTAGCCAGCGTTTTTAGATGGAAGGAATGGTAAAAGTTCCGAGGGATGGTGGCCATAAATTCACGAACGTACGCAAGCTTGCATTCTTTCATTCATTCAGCATTTATTGCGCACTTGCTCGGTGCCAGACATGACGTGTACCGTAGTGAACAAGACAGCCGTGGAACCTGCTGTCCTGGGACTTACAGTCTAGAGGGAAACGGGAACATTTTCAGATTGTAAAGGACAATAAATTTCAAAAAAAAAATTAAAGTATATCTTTTTATCTCTTGGTTGGATGGGTATTAGGTTGTTTCTAGTTTTTGTCTATTGCGAATATAAAACTTCCCTAACATTCCTGTATAAGTCTTTGTGCGGATATGTTTTCATTCTCAGGTAAATAGCTAGGGTTGGAGTTGCTGGGTCATATAATAACTGTGCTTTATCTTTGTAACAAACTGCCAAACTGTTTTACAAAACAGTTGTTTCATCTTACATTTTCAGTTGCTCCAGGAATGGCCAACATTTGATACTGTCATTTGATCTTTACAGTGGTAGCCATTCTAATGAGAAAAATCGTACATCACTTGTTTTATTTGTATTTCACTGATTATTGGTGATGTTGAGCATGTTTAACATGCTTATTAGCCATTTGTAGATCTTTTATAAAGTGTCTGTTTAAATCTTTTGCAAAGTTTTTCAAAACCATGTTATTTGTCTTGCTGAATTGCAAGAGTTCTTTATATATATTTGGATACAAATCCTTTATCAGCTATATGTATTGCAAACATTTTCTTCCAGAGTGTGGTTTGTTCTTTTAAAATAATCGTGCTTTTTGAGGAGAAGTTTTTTATTTTGATTAATTTGTGGTACATAGGCTATATTACTCAGCTATAAAAGTAAATAAAGTATAAAATGGTGCGGTCACCTCAAAATGTTAAGCATAGAGTTACCATATGGCCCAGCAATTCCACTTCTAGGTATATACCTAAGAGACCTGAAAACATATCCATGCAAAAACTTGTACAGGAATGTCCGTAGTAGCATTATTCAAAGAGCCAAAAAGTAGGAACAACCCAAATCTTTTATCAACTAATGAATAGATACACAAAATGTAGTTTAATCTAAACAATGGAGTATTAGTCAGGCTTAAAAAATAATGATGCAACATGGAGGAACCTTGAAAACATGCTAAATTAAAGAAGCCAGGCACAAAGGACCACATTTTCTATGATTCCACTTATATGACATGTCCAGAATAAGTAAATTCATAGAGACACAAAGTAGATTAATGGTTGCCAGTAGCAGAGGAGGACAGGGGAGTGGCTGCTAATGGGTACAGACTTTCTTTTGAGGGTATGAAAATGTTACAGAATTGGTTTTTGATGGTTGCAGAGCTCTGTGAATACAGTAAAAACCACTGAATTGTATACTTTAAAATGGTGTATTTTTATTTAATAAAGTTTCATTTTTCAAAATGTACAGCTGGTGGGACCTGTTATTCATGCATCTTCCTCAGCAGCTGGGGCCTCCCCACGGTTGGTGTTGCTGGTATAAATTACTGGAGCTCTGTGCTTTGAAACAGTTGCATGAGTCCTTTACTAAGGAGCTCCTGAAGGGCTGCCTAGGCCAAGGAACCAAGGCTCTTCAGTCTCCGAGACAACAGCTGGGGTTATAAGCTTATATTAATAGTTCAGAAATTCCTTACAGAGTTCGCCATATGTTGCTTTGTTTAATAAGACTTATGTTATTGAGCTCATCTCAAACTTTGCCTTTGGACCACTTCTTTTTGGCCTTGTCCCCAGATTTGTTCACTGGGTCTTTGTCTTTCTTGGCTGACTTTTGGGCATCTTTTTTCTTGTCCTCTAGAGCGTGATAGGGAAGCTCAAAGAGCAGCTGCCGCCACTGCAGCCTTGCTAAGATGTTGGGCGAAAGGTTAAACGTGAATTTTATGATGTGTGAAGTATCTCTTAATAAAACTGTTAGTACAAAAAACAGTTAATACATACAACATGGGTGAATTTCAAAAGCATTATGCTGAAAGAAGTCAGACACAAAAGAGTATTGCTATATGATTCCATTTATATTAAGTTCTGAAACAGGGAAAACCAATTTACAGTGTTGGAAATCAGGTCGGGGGAGGGGAAAAGACTGACTATGAAAGGGCACACAAGGGGACTTGGTAATGGAAATGTCTTATATCTTGATTGGGGTAGTGATCACATGGATGTATACACTTGTCAAAACTCCTAGAACAGTACGCTAGGATGTGTGCATTAAATTATACGTAAATTTTACTGGTGTGGCTCAGTGGATTGAGCACTGGCCTGCGAACCAAAAGGTGACCGGTTCAGTTCCCTATCAGGGCACATGCCTGGGTTTTCGGCCAGGTCCTCAGCTGGGGATGTAAGAGAGACAATGATGTTTCTCTCCTTCTCTTTCTCCCTCCCTTCCCCTCTCTCTGAAAATAAACAAATAAAATCTTAAACAAACAAACAAACAACAAAAAAACCCCCAATGATTTCTGTCTAAGGCAGTATAGTCAACAGAGCTTCCCGACCTTTCTCACCCACACCGGCGCACCCTCAGGGAACAATACAGCGCATCTTTACTCAAGGGCATTTACTAGAGGACTCGAAATGAGTCCTTGGTTAGGGTGCTCTGGACCTGAGGCTCCGAGCCCAGGTAGGCTCTGGCCACTTCTGCAGGCCTGGCTGAGGGCATCAATGCCTGGCAGGGACATGCTGGGGAAGCTCAGTGTGGTGGCAGAGTGGGCTCTGGGGTCAGGCTGATGGGAGTACGGCGAGTTCCTGCCCTACTGTCCTGCTGATAACTGCCTCCGTGACCCTGGGCGAGCTACCTAATCTCTCAGGGCGTCTGATTCCTCAGCTGTAAAATCACAATAGTCATAGCACTTGCCTCAAAGGACCGTTGTCATGAGAAAATAAGATGAGGTAACATGTACAAGTTCCTAGAATCTACCTGGCACAGGGAAATTAATCAATTGCAACTATCTTCATGAAAGGGGACAAGAGCTACCAGACTATTTAATGAGAACATAATATTTCTCTGACTAGTAAAGTTTCCTGTCCTAAAAAATTAGACTATTTCTTAAAATTTTATATCTTGGGAATTCTAAACTCTCATTTGGAAATACAAACGAACGCCCAGCAGTGTATAGGCTGTCTCCAAGCTGTCCAGCGTTGCCGTAGTGAATTTTCCTTGTACCTGTCTATTCCAACACCTCTGTGTCTGTCTCTGCCATGCCACCCATCCCATGAGGTTCAAGAAAGCCCCCAAATTAAGAGGGCACAAAAGGATAGGTGTTTGAGTGTGGTATCCCTCCACCCTCCTCTCCCCCTTCCATCTCCTGGCGCCTATAATCACCAGGCGGTCTGAGGCTAAGTGGTAGTTTTGCCCACAGTGGGGGGGCTTGGAAACCACACCCCTTCTCCTGAGGCCCTCCTGGCCGTTCCCAGCACCCTGGTCTCCTCCATTGTTGAGATGGGTCTCAAGAGGGCATGGTGTTTCCCATGGTGTAGGTGCCGGAGACGGCGAGGGACTGAAAGAGGAGCAGGTATGGGGGAGACTGAGGAAAAAGGGGGGCTGTCGGGCAAACAGATAAACAGCACTGGGAGAAAGGTAAATTCTCGCACCGGTGAAGGGAAAAGGATAGTCTGTCTCCCTGGATGGGAGGTGGGTCTATCACTTCCCCATAGAGCTGGCTAAATATTTTGCAGGGCCCAGTGCAAAATGAAGGGGGACCCCGTAGTAAAAAAATGATTAAGAATTTCAAGATGATGACGGCCGAGCGGTACACCCAGCATGGGGGCCCTTCTGAGTGGGGGGGCCCTTTGCAACTGCACAGGTCGCAGGCCAGTGAGGCCAGCCCTGCTCTCTCAACATCCCTCCTTTCTCTCCCTGCTGATGCCACCAACACTCCCCCAAGACCTCCGGATGTCTTCCCTGGCCTCTTTCCTCCTCACCGGGGGTGGGAGCGTTGGGGAGAGGAAAGGGAAACCCACACTCACAATTCTTTTTCCAACCTCCCTTTTAGGTCTGCATCCAGCTGCCCCTCCAGATCCAGATCCCAGTCCAGTTATAGCCCCCATTATGACTGAGGGAGGGGTACCCTCCCTAGGGTCCAGTGCTTACTTCAGCAGGAAAGCCCGGCTCTCCTTCCGCCACCAGCTGCATGACATAGCATCAGCCAATGACTCCACCATTTAAACAGGACAACCAGGGGCTGAACTTCCGGGAAGCCCTGGCAACCTTCCTTCCTCCCACTTCTCAGTGATCCCAGTTTCTGGCTCCCACAAGTCCCTCATGATCTTCTCATTAAATATATTCAGAGTTGCCAAGTGTTGTGTGTGTGTGCATGTGTGCTGGGGTGAGAGAATAGACGGGGCGCAGGGCTTGGTCCTGCGGCTGCGTGGGAAGTGCCGCGTTGGGAGTGTGGACACACGCATGGGCAGTCTGACGCAGGTGGTCTGATGCAGAGCCCGGTCGTGGCTGGCCTGAAGTTTGCCGAAATCAAGCTTCAGAGTGGAGTGTGGTGAGAGCCATTTGGAGAGGTTGAGGGCTAGGCAGGGCAGCAGATAGGGCTGACATAGTTATTCAGAGTATCAGGTGTCCACTCTCCACCAAGCACTGAGGATACATCAGTGAACCAAGCAGAAAGAATTCTCTCTTCTCACTGACCTTACTTTCTAGTAGAAGAGATAGACAATAACTAAACAAATAAGCCTGATATGAGAGAGCAGTAACTGCTGTTATGAAGAAAACTAAACAGGGTAACACGAGAGCCAGATGGAAGGGGTGGCGTTTCTTAGATTTCAGGTGGTTCCTTAGATAGGGAGAGCCTTTCTGATGAGGCGCCATTCAGAGCTGAGACCTGAGTGATGTGTCAATGTCAGTTCACCGGTTGTAACAAATGTACTGTTCTGGCGCAGGATGTTGATAGTGGGAGAGGCTATGCACGTGAGGGCAAGAAGGTATACAGGAAATTGCTGTATCTTCTGGCCAACTTGGTTGTGGACTTAAAATTGCTCTAAAAAATATTTTAAATCACGGGAAGAGCAGTCCCAGGCAACAGACACACACACACACACACACAGCAAGTATTAAGTACAAAACCTCTTTGGTTCCAGGGAAAAAAGCCAGTGACTGGAGTGTCAAGATTGAGGGGAACTGTTGGGTCTTCTAGGCCATGGTAAGGGGCTAAAATGTTACTCTAGATAGAATGGTAAGACACTGAAGAATGTTAAGCAGGGAAACCGCATGATTTCACTTACATTGAAAGATCCCTTTGGTTGCTGTATGTGGAAAGATTGTAGAAGACCAAGTATAGAAGCAGTAAGGCCGTGTAGCAGAGGAAGTTGCCATGTTCCAGGCAGGTGATGGTGCTTGGCTCGAGAGTGCTGTGGAGCTGCTGGGAGGTAGATGGATTCTAGATGAACTTTTGAAGAGTTTTTAGGACTTACTGTTAAACTGAATGTGGAGCATAAGGGAAAGAGAGGAATCAAAGATGCCCTGAGATAGGGAGGACCAGGAGAACAGGTTTTACAGGAAAATTGTTCTCTCTTGGTTATTTTAAGTTTGAGGTACACATTTGGGGATCAAGATCCTTCTCTGTGCCTCTTCACTTAATCAGGACTCCACCCGCCCTCACCTCCGAAATCCTATAGGGCAAGACTATCTTCTAGAACGTTTTCAAATGTGACTTATACAGTTCCCTGATGCATAGTGGGGAGAAAAAAAGATTGGGGCAAGACTGCAAATGTTGGGCACTGTCAATGAACACCACTGAGCACTTTTAGGTCCCTGGCTTACGTGAGGACAGCCTTGGGGGGCCAGAATGCACTCTCCTCCTCCCATCCAAGGGGCTAAAGACTGGATTATCATTACATGCTGCACGGGAATAGTGGCTTCCAGAGCTGGCCCACAGAGCTCCCAGTGGCTGCCCCCTCCCACACAATGTCCCTTTGAAACTCGTCATTAACAATGTCCACCTTCTACCTTTTTCCCAAAAGCCAAGGAAGTCACACTGCTGCTCCAGACAAGATGAGATGACGGAGGCGGGGCGGGGGGGACAGGACATGAGCCTGGGTCAGAGATCTGGAGTCCTTTTGGCCTCCGGGCCAGTAGCCAGCCATAATGACAGGTAGAAGGCAGGCTAAGGGGAAGTGACCTCAGCTTTAGTTCTACCTCAGGCTTGAAGAGGGTGTGGAGAGGGTCATTTGTTGGTAGTTTCCATATCAACCACACTCCGGTTTCACCAGGATCTAGATATAGCAGAGGAAAGGTAACATGGGGAAAGATGGCCTGAAGAAAGAAGTTTGAAAATCACCCTCGTAAAGGCTCATCTTCAATGCCTTCACTGCTCAGAGCAGTGGTCTGTACAAACTTGACCAGACAAATCTGGGCTTGAAGTCCCAAAAAGAACCCAAAGCACACAGGCTCCCTTTGACAAACTTTTTATTGACTTTTGCATCAGTATGGGATGTCTCTTTTTGTATCTCAGAATCCCAGGGTTCAGGGAGGTGGTAAAGTGGCAATGGTGAATTTGGGGATCTGGTCTCCCAAAAGTACCTGCCGCTCTACCCCTGATTCTTCTATGGATGCCAGGCGGATCACCCCTCCACTGGAGCCGTCCCTCTCCATAGCCAAAGCGAGAGCTGTGGATAAATGAAAGTTGTGGATCAGAATCAGATGCTGGGGTCACTGCAAAGAATGATGAAAGTTGGCCTGGTTTGGTTATGGGAGCTGGGACTCACAGGCCCAGAAACCCAAGTTCTCACCATTAGCAGTGAATTGCAGACACTCGTCCTTAGTCATGCCTTCCCGGTAGGTAGCATCGACATAGCCATAAATATAGGAACTCCCGGAGCCTCCAATGGCAAAGGACTGTCTCACCATCATACCCCCCATGGGCACTGAGTACACCTGTCAGGTAGAGGGAGGACAAAGAGTCACCAGTTGTACTCTCCCCACAACACATGTACATTCACCTGTCCACTGTAGCATTGATCTGGGGAAAGTTAATAGTGAGGCAGAGGCTGGAAAAAGAAACTGGCTGGGGTGGCGAAAGAATCGAAGGCATGGTTCCAGTGCTCTGGGGGCGCGGCGTATCTGACCTGCCCTCCTTCTTGAGGGTCCCAGCCTGCAATGATGATTCCTGCCATCAGGTCCTCCCGGTATCGGTAACACATCTCCTTGAAGAGGCTGGCTGCCGTGTGTACCAGCGGAGGCTCGTTCAGCTCGATGCTAGAGGATGAGGGGAGTTACAGAGAAGGCAGTGTCAGGATCTGAGAGTCAGACCATTTAGCTCCTCAGGTCCCAACTCCCTTCAGGTACTTGTTTCTCCCCAGCCCACAAGCACCTGTGGAAACCAAGCTGATAGGTAACAGCATCAGCGACTGCTTGGGTGTCCGCTGCGGAGCCTGAGCGGCAGCAGAAAATACGATCATGTATAGGGGTCAGCTTGTCAGTCACTCGATTGGCGATGTAGGACCTGGCAGAATAGTGGGAATGGCAGAATAGTGAGGCAAAGGACCCTACTTGTTTCCCACCTCCATCCCATTACTGTCCACTGTCTCAGACTTCAGTGAGAACTGATTTGTTATTAGTTCTCATCCAAACTGAAGCAGGCTGAAGAACAGACTTCTGCAAGAATTTCACCTAAGGGTGAGGGGAACACCGAAGTGGTAGAGGCTGGCACAAATCTTTATCTCCAGGGAGGGAGGAAACCTCCCTCCCACGGCTGTCTGTAGAGGGCAGGGATGGGTTGGCAGGCAAGGAAGGGAGAGAGAGATGGGACGACCTTTCACAGGTGTGTCCTGAGCTCACCCAGTGGTTGTTCTGGAATCGGCCCCCAGAACCACGCCCCCGTCAAATTGCACAGCCATGATAGTGGTCTGGGAAAAAGGAGAAAGGGGTGAGTCTGGGCCTGTGCACATTCTCCAACACACACAAATCTCAATGACCCCTCTACCCAGTCCCTAAAGTCATGCATCACTAACCTACTGTCAAATCTCAGAAGGGCCTCAACAACCCACAAAATACCAGAATTCCAATCCTCAAATCCTCGAGTCCATCCCAGCTTTAAGCCTGCATCCCGCAAGATTTCAGAACTCCACGCTTCTGCCTACCTTCCACATCCAATCACGAAATTACCACACGGCATCCCCAGGATACCTCTCCTCTGCCTCCAGCACAACAGAGACCACCACCCGCCCCAGTTCTCCCAACACACTCAGGCCTATCCTTCTATCGCATTAAGGCTTGTTTACAACTCCTGGACCCGGAATCCTTCCTCACCCCTGTGGAGACTTCTCGGTTTTCCCAGTCGGGGGTAAGGGCCTCCGGCCCCCAGGCTGGTGCTGGGCCCGCTCCTCTAGCAGATACTAAGGCGGCCGCCATCTTTCTCCTCCGGCACTGCCACAAAGCAACTGTCGTAAAGCGCTCTGTCACTCCCTTTAGTAGGGCTCTGAGGCCTTCAGGCGGCGAAGCTAGGCCACGGTTGTAAAGAAGTGTCTTTTGCGACAGTGAGCGCTTGATGGCAGCATGGCAGGCTAATAAGCAAACACAAATACCCAAAATATTCAGCAAGGACTGTGTTTCCTATTGGACTGTGGTGTACTACTGTATCTGTTCGAAGTTGCAATTCAAAACGTCTTCAAGACAGGCTTGAGCCTCTGACTTACAGTGTGCATGCTATGTTTTCACTTCTCTTAGGTATATACCTAGGGGTATGTACTGTGCCAGGCGTGGAATGGGTGGGTCACATAGTAACTGTTTAACATTAGAGGGACTGACAACTGTTTGCCACAATAGCTGTCCCATTTTACATCCCCACCAGCCATGTATGAGGATTCCAATTTTTCCATATCCTCACTAATTGTTATTTTGTGTATTTTTTTCTTTTTTAAACTGTTATTTATTTATTTATTTTTAGAGAGAGAAGTTGGGGGAAGAAAGAGAGGGAGAGAAACATGGATGTGGGAGAGAAACATCGATGGGTTGTCACGCACATGCTCCCAGCTGGGGACCTGGCCACAACCCAGGCATGTGCCCTGACCAGGAATCCAACTGGCAACATTTCAGTTTGCAGGAGGATGCCCAACTGGGCCACACGAGTCAGGGCATTAGGGTGTATTTTTACTTTAGCCATTCTGGAGGGTGTGAATTGGTATGTTGTGGGTTGGTTGGTTGGTTTGTTTTGCATTTCCCTGATTAGTGTTGTTGATCCTATTTTCATTAGCTAATTGTCCGGTTGTATATCTTGTATATCTTCTTTGGAGAAATGTCTATTGAAGTCCTTCGCCCTTTTTTAAAATTTGGTTATTTTGTCTTGGCTGGTGTGGCTCAGTGGATTGAGTGTCGGCCTTCAAATCAAAAGGTTGCCAGTTCAATTCCCAGTCAAGGGACATGCCTGGGTTGCAGGCCCGATCCCCAAGGCGATCAATGTATCTCTCTCTCATTGATGTTTCTCTCTCTCTGTTTCTCCTTTCCACTCTCTCTAGAAAGTAAATAAATAAAGTAAAATAAAATAAAAAGATTGGGTTACCTGTTATTGAGTTTGTAAGAATTCTTTTTTAGGCTGAATTTTTTTATTTATTGATTTTTTTTTTTTAGGGAAGGAGAAGGGATAGAAAGAGAAACATTGATTTCTTGTTTCACTTATTTATGCATTCATTAGTTGATTCTTTTTTTTAAAAAAACATTTTATTTATTTCTTTTTAGAGAGAGGGGAAAGGAAGGAGAAAGAAAGGGAGAGAAACATTGATCAGCTGCCTCTTGCTCACCCCCAGCTGGGGACCTGGTCCTGCAACCCAGGCATGTCCCCTGACTGGGAATCAAACCAGTGGCCTTTCGGTTTGCAGGACAATGCCGAACACACTGAGCCACACCAGCCAGAGTTCATTAGTTGATTCTTGCATGTGCCCTGACTGGGCATGGAACTTGCGACCTTGGCTTATCAGGATGCCACCCTAACCAGCTACCTGATCAGGGCTCTTTTTTATATTCTGGATATTAGACCTTTTTTAGGGACATGATTTGTAAATATTTTCTCCTGTGGATTATCTTTTCACTTTCTTCATTGGTGTCCTTTGAGGCACAAAGTTTTAAATTTTGATGAAGTCCAGTTTGTCCGTTTCTCCTCTAGTTGCTTGTGCTTTTGATACCAAAGAAACTGTTATCTAATCCAAGGCTACAAAGATTTGCGATGATATTTTCGCCAAAGAGTTTTATAGTTTTAATTCTTATATTTTTAGGTCTATGATTCATTTGAATTAATTTTTGTGTTTGATATGAAGCAGGGGCCCAATAGTCATTCCATTTTTTAATTTTTTAAATTTATTAATTTTAGAGAGAGGGGAAAGGAGGAAGAAAGGAGAGAAGCATCTATATGAGAAACATTGATCTGTTGCCTCTCTCTGTACATTCCCCAACCGACCAACCAACCGGGGACCAAACCTGCAACCCAGGAATGCGGCCTTTTGCATTTCAGGACGACACCCATCCAGCTGAGCCACAACAGGGCCAGTAGTCATTCTTTTGCATATGGATATTCAGTTGTTCCAGCACCAGTTGTTGAAAAGACTATTCTGTCCCTTTTGAATGGTCTTGGTGAAGCCGGAGGATAACCGGATCTGGGGCTCATGCTGCCTGTCACTGCTCTGTGAAAAATGCAGAGACAGATACTGGATTGTAATTGCGCTTTTATTAATACCAAAGGCTAGCAGTCTGAGAAAGTGGTGGGTTAAAACCCTAACATCTACGTTACCTCAGACTTTTAGAAGCAAGTTTATATAGGGGAAACCTGGGAATTTGGGAGGGGGAAAGTCCTAGGGGGAGCGCAGACTTGCAGACGTGCCTTTTTTCTTGGAGGGAGAACTGCCGGGGGAGTCATGCAGCTTCTTTCCGAACTGGCTCCCTCTGTTCTGGTGTTATCTCGCTGTTTGCGTTAGCATTCCTCCCTTCCCAGGACACCCAGGCCAGGGAGGCTTTGTATTCTCTGGTTAGGGAGGAGAGGTATAAACCACTTGCTCTCAAGTATCCATAGTTAGAGGAGATAAGGTCTTGCAATTCACCAGCTGGCTGTAAATTGCTCAAACTGTTTGGCCCTGTTTAATTTTCTTGTCTCAGTTTCCCCATTCCACTTGTCCAAGAATTTTCCTAGCTTCTTACTACCCCACCTCATTGGCACTCTTGTGGGAAATCAACTGACCATGTGTATAATATAGGCTGATTTCTCAAAAGAAACCTTGCAGGCAAGAAGGGGCTGGACAAAAGTATTCAAAGTCAGGAAAGGCAGGGGCCTACATCCAAGATTACTCTATTCAGCAAAGAACGGAAGGGCAGATGAAGTGCTTCCCAGATAAGGTGAAGTTAAAGGAGTTCATCATCACCAAGCTATATAATTATATGAAATGTTAAAGGGACTTATCTAAGAAAAAGAAGATAAAAAACTATGAACAGTTAAATGACAACAAACTCACAACTATCAACAACTGAACCTAAAAAAAAAACAAGCAAAAAAAAAAAAGAACTAAACCACTAGAACAGGAACAGAATCACAGAAATGGAGATCAGAGGGGGAAGGGGAGAATGAGGGAAAAGGTGCAGGGCATAAGAAGCATAAATAGTATGTACAAAATAGACAGGGGGAGGTTAAGAATAGTATAGGAAATGGAGAAGCCAAAGAACTTGTATGTATGACTTATGGACATGAACTAAGGCGGGGGATGGGGGAGAAGCTGGTGGAAGGGGGGTGCAGGGAGGAGGAGAATAAAGGGGAGGAAAAAAATGAGACAACTGTAACAGCATAATCAAAATATTTATATTAAAATATATTGACAATTAAAAAATTTTTTAATTTATTTATTGATGAGAGAGAGAGAAAGGGGGAGAGAAAGACACTGATTTGTCGCTTTCCTTATTCATGAATGCACTCATTGGTTGTTTCCCCGAATGTGCCCTGACTGGGGATCAAACATGCAACCTTGGTGTATCAGGAGGACAATCTAACCAACTGAGCTACCCATCCAGGGCGAACATGCGTATAATACTTTTTATATGTGGTTTGCTAATATTTTCTTGAAGCATTTTTGCATCTCTACTCACACAATATATCAATATATTGGTCTGTAGGGTTTTTAAAAAATATCTTTGATATGAGAGTAATATTGGACTCAGAATAAGTAGGGGAGTGTTCCTTACTCTTCTATTTTTATAAGAGTTTATGAAGGATTGGCATTAATTTAAAAAAAACATTTAGTAGAGTTTATCAGTGAAAATATCTGGTCCTGGGCTTTTCTGTGTGGGAAGTTTTTTAAAAATTTTTATTTATTTATTTTTAGAGAGAGGGGAAGGTAGGGAGACAGAGAGGAAGAGAAACATCAATGTGTGGTTGCTTCTCCTGCGCCCCCTACTGGGGACCTGGCCTGCAACCCAGGCATATGCCCTGACCAGGAATTGAACCAGTGACCCTTTGGTTCACAGGCCAGTGCTCAATCCATGGAGCCACAATAGCCAGGGTGGAGGATTATTTTGATTACTCACTCAGTCTCTTTGTTATAGGTCTTGTCAGATTTTCTATTTATTCTTGAGTCAGTTTTAGTAGTTTATGTCTTTCTACAAACTTGTTCATTTCTTTTAGGTTATCTAATTTGCTAGTCTACAATTGTTTATAGTATTCCCTTATAATTCCTTTTATTTCTGTAAAAGTCACAGTAATGTCCTCTTTCATTCTTGATTTTAATAATTTGTTTTCCATCTTTTTTATTGGTCTAGCTAAAAGTTTGTCAATTTTGTGATCTTTTCAAAGAGCGAACTTTTGAATTAGTTGATTCTCTCTATTGTTTTTCTATTTTCTTTTTCATCTATTTCCACTCTGTTCTCCATTATTTTCTTCCCTTTGCTTATCTTTAGGTTTGATTTGCTTTCCTTTTTCTAGTTTCTTATGGTGGAAAGTTAAGCTATTGATTTAAGATCTCTTTCCAAACTTTTTAATATAAGCATTTACATCTAAAAACTTTCCTCTGAGCACTGCTTAGGCTGTATCCCTAAGTTTTAATATGTGTTGTTTTCATTTTCACTAATCTCAAAGTATTTCCCCTGAATTCTCCTTTGACACATTGGCTTTTTAGGAGTGTGCTATTTAATGTCCACATACTTGTGAATTTCTGAAATCTCTTTTGTTATTCCTTTCTAATTTCATTTCATTTTAGTTGGAGAATATTTTGTGACTTCAATCTTTTTAAATTTATTGAGACTTTACTGTGGCCTAACATCTGGTCTGTCCTGGAGACTGTCCCATGGGCAGTTGAGAAGAACGTGTATTTTGCTGTTATTTTGTGGAGTGGTTCTCCTATGAATCTGCCATACTTTTTCTACATACTGCAGCTGCAGCTGAGTTTTTGAACTGAAACTATGATCCAGACAATACTCTGCTTAAAATCAATGTTTGAGATAGAGTCCCATCTCTGTAAAATAGTTTATAAGGCCCTTTGTGAACACACTCCTATCCACTTGACAAGAATCAAACCTCCTTTTTACTTTGAAAAATTTTATTGTAGTAAAATATAAATAGCATAACATAAAATTTGGCATTTCAACCATTTTTGTGTACAATCTAGTAACATCGAGTACATTGACAGTGTTGTGCAATCCTCTTCTTTTCTTTTTGATTCTCTTGGCTCCTGCCATCTGAACTATTTTTAGTCCTCATGCATTCACTCAACAAGAAACTATTAAATGTCTACTAGATACCAAGCACTGTTTGAGGCACTGAAGGTACATCAGGAAACAAAATAGACAGAAAATTCTAGCCCCGTGGAGCTTACATATATAGGGTGAGAAAACAAAACAAACATTTATAATATGTTAGAGAGTGAACTGTATAAGAAGAAAAAAAAGCAAGGAAGGGAGATAGGAAATGTGTGTATGTTGAAATTTTAGGAAGGATAATCAGGAAAGGTCTCACTGAAGAGACATTTGATAAATGTCTCTTTTGGTAAAGACCAAAGGAAGTAAGGAGGGAAGTCCTTTGTTTAGTTGCGGTGGGAAGAGCATTATGGACAGAGGGGAGAGCAAGTGCAAAGGTTGAGGCAGAATCAAATCTGACATGTTCAGTGAATATTGAGGAGGTCAATTTGGCTAGTGCAGAGTCAGATCAGGTAGGACCCTTATGAAACTTTTTGTTATTCTGAACTGAAAACATAATCCAGAAAATTTCCTGCTTACATATTTTTTTTTCCATCGGAGTGCAATAAGAAGCCATTGGAAGGTTTTGAGCAGGGAAGCAACATGATATTAACTCCATTTTAAAGAATCATTTTGGCTGTTCTATTGAACATATACTATAGGGAGGCAAAGCGTGGGACTGAGAAACGATTACAAGGCCGTTGCAATTATCTTGGTGATAAAGTTGGCGTGACAAATGTGGTAGTAGAGGAGATAGCAGGAATGATCAGATTCTGACAAATGGGATGTGGGTGCAATGAAATAGAAACAAGAGAGTCAAGATGACTACAAGGTTTTGGCATAAAGACCTGGAAGAATGGAATTGTGATTTACTCAGATAACAAAGACAAAAGGAGTATTTTGGGAGGAGAGTGTATCAGAAGTTTTGGGCATGTTAAGCTTGTAATGTCTAGTTGAAATCCAAGTGTAGATGTTGAATGAGGAACTATATAGATAGGATTCTGGAGTTTAGGGGAAAGTGGTTGGAGTTATAATTTGGGAGTTATCAGTGTATGAAATGGCTAAGCTCTTTCGTGTTCACGATCGTCGTGGGAGTGGCTGAAACGTAATTTAATAAAGACACATACTGAGCTGAGCTTCTGCTTGGTGTGAGGCACGATGCACCGGTTTTAGGTTTCGGTAGTTGACAGAAGAGGTTGCCACTTATTCATAGAGACAAAGAGCACAAGAAGAGGTGAAGTTTTTGGAGGATGCGATTGGATCCCAGTTGAATGCGTTGCATTCGCGGTGTCTGCGGAGGTGTCCAGGATATATTTGGCTTTATGGGGCTGGAGCTCAGGAAACAGGCCTGGGCTGGCGACTTGGCAGGTAGTTGGCAAGGGAAGCCATAGGAGTGGTTGAGATAGCCAAGGGAAGCATGAATCTTTCTCGGCTGCCAGGAACACGGATGATACATCTTCCCAGAACCATTTATTTTTCTGTGTCCCTTAAGCGCCTGCTGGCATCACAGAAAACCCCCTTAATCCACGGCTACCAAAGGATTCTTTTTATTGCCCAAAACTACTTTCTTCTGAGGACTTCGGCTAGAGGGAGGAGCTGAAAAGCTCCACCCCACCGCAGGAGCCCCCGAAAGCGAGTAACGTCACCAAACGGGCGGGCTGTCCGGTGCCCGCCCCCGGCTCTGGAAGCCGGCGCACACCACACGACCCCGAGCTAGTGCAGCTCTGACCCCGCCCCAGGGCGCTCCTTACCAGCGAGTCGCGGCCCACTGCTGGCCTTAGGCTAGCTGGAGCAGGCCGCCCTCGGCCAGCAAGCATTGGGTCCGGTTGTAGACGTCCTCCAGGGTGCCCGCGGCGCGGACCACAGCGGCCCGCGCCGCCTCCTCTCTGGTTCCCGGACAAGCCAGCTCCAGCAGGCGGCCGCGACCAGGGAAGGAGAGGAATGCGAGGCGGACGGCCTGACGGACCAGCCAGTGATGGTGCGGGGCCAGGACAGTGTTGTAGGCGTCGTGGCACTGCTCGCCGGCACCTGGGCCTCCGAGCGTGCCAGTCGCCACCCGGTGGAGGCAGAGCTGGGACCAGCGAAGCGCTCGGTGCAGCAGGAGCGCTGTTCGTGAGCCGGAGGACCTGGTAGAGTCTCGGGGGCCGATCCCAGGCAGCTCCAGCAATCCCGCCCGCCGCTCCCACGCCACCATGGCCGCCAGAGACTTATAGTGCGCGGCTTCTGGGCCGTGCACCCGAGCCTCAAGGGCTGTTACTTTGGTGAAGGCCTCGCCTGTGGCAAAGGCGAAGATGGAGCCGAAGGGGGTTAGGAACCTGTGTATTTGGTGGTGGGAGGAGTGAGTGGGATGGTTAGAGAGAGGGCGAGGGAGCCAACGGAGGCGGGGACTGGATGGGGGGAGGGGTGGGGAGAGGCACTCACTTGATTAACTCCCTCCATCCCGCCAGGTACTGCGACAACTCCACATCCCCTTCGGGGTTCAGACTAGCGCGAAAAGGCTTTATTATGCGGCCCAGCATCCCCTGGGGGCCCAGACACTGCGGCTCTTCTCGTTCGGGGGCCTCCAGGGATCCCGACTCTTGCTGCACCTGGGGGAGTATATTTGGGGGGGACGGGAGCAGAACCCCTAGACTGTTGGGCCTTCTTCGCCAAGCAGCCCAGTCGGGCTCTGAAGAAATCGTTCTTAAGGTCTAGCTGGTGTCCCTCCTGCTACACTCTCAGCTTCTGTCAGGAGCGGGGATACAGGAAGGAGGGTCTGCTCTTCAGCAGAGTCAGGCTGACTGCATTTTCCCCTGTTCAGGGTCCCACTTGAAGCTCCCGGTCCCCCTGCCCCGAGCATACCTGTAAAGACGGCGGTCCGTCGGCAATGCAGAACAGTGCCCCAGATGAGCAGCCTGAGAGGGCACCTGGTGAGAAGTAAGGAGGAGCGGTCAAGGCTCGAAGAGGGGGCTTAGGTCCCAAGGACCTGGATTCCTGGGTTCCTCCAGAGGAGGTGAGGCGAGAGGCCACTCACGTAGGCTCCGAGCACAGAGATAAAAAAGTAGCAGCGCGAAGATGGCTAGAGGAATTGTACGGCGGAACCAACGCCGGGGGACCTGTGGAGGCAGCGCGACCCCCATGGCTGGCTGGGACCACCAACCACACACGGGCTCCTACCCAGTCCTGTCCCTCCGCTTCCGAGAAGGAAGAGGAGCCCGCGGTGCACTGAGGGGCAAAGGTTAATAATTAATCTAAGGCCCCTTCCCCTTTGCCCTTTGCCCCAGAGGGCAGCATCCCAAGGATGAGAAACTAGATTAAAAGGGTCTGGGAAGTTTGGCGGCACTGACACCTCTATATTTTCCTTCCCTTTGGGGCCAGATTGTATTAAGAGGCAGCCTGGGTATTGGGAAGGGAGGTTGCGGTGAAAACGAGCTCTCCTACTGAGCAATGGTGTGGGTCCTAAGTTAACTCTGGGCTTGAGTTCCTTCCACTGTAAATTGACGATAATAATAGGTACTTTGCGAGGATTAAATGATAATGTATGTATAAACACTGTAAATGGAAAAGCTCACCGCAATTGCGCCATAAATCTTACCTATTAAGTTCAAGCATGGGGCACTTGGGATCCAGGGAACACCCACTTCCAAATTCGCTAACTTATCCTGCAGGACCTTGTCTTGATCTGGATGCATGACATCTTGATTATATACCTTGGGCTTTATCGTTTTACATTTTTTTGTGGTGTAATTTTTTAAACTGAGGTTGATTCCTCAATCATTTATCAGACCAACTGTTTTAAACTACTTCCACATGCCAGGCCCCGATTAGGCATCAAGAAGACAAAAAAAGTGCCTTCGTAGAGCTCAGGGTCCATTGGAGAATTTATAATTTGATCCCCCCAATGGAATGTGAGCTCTAATGACAGGGGCCTTGTTTTTCCGTGGTTGCAGCTCTATTCACAGCACTTAGAACATTGCCCAGGCATAAATACACTATTGCTAAGTAAATATATGTTGAATAAACAAAAGAATGTGTATGAAGGGCAGGCAAAGAGGGGCGTGCTCCCCGTGACTAATTTGAGCCAACTTTGTTTATTTTCTTGTTTTTGCAAATTAGGACTCCACCTTGTGGCCATGGGGGGAAAAACATTCAGGGAAATGATACAGGATGCAATCGGAAAAAACACCATCTCCTGTTCTTAGCACCCTGTATATACATTTTTCAAGAATTGTTCCTGGCTCTGTGCATATTTTCTTCTGGGGTGAGGAGGAGTATCTCAAATTCTCAAGGAGTCAGGATCGCAATTGCTAAGAAGACCCTGGCTCCCACAGTTCACGGATCCTTGCCCTATCTCACTCTGATGCTCTCTCACACCTTGGAGGTCCCCGAGTTTGCCCCAGATCAATCCTGTCTAATGGGATTCTGGAGGCGTCCCTTCCATCCCTCGCCTTGGGCTCCCCATTTCCCAGTGTTGGACCGTTTTCCAGCTTGCTGACTGTGACTTTAGGTAAGTCACTTACCATTTCCAAGCCCCAGTTACCTAGTCTGCAAAATAGGGAGGGTAATTCCCCCCTCCTAAAATTGTGAGGATTAAATAGAACATGGCTGCAACAACACAAATCACAATTCGTGGCCAACAGTAAGCATCCGGTAGGTGGTGGCTATTTCAAACTGTCAGACCCTGATGCCCCTCCTCCTCTGGTACCAGGAGCCTACAACTCCCAGAGCAGAGAATCCGGCCTGCTGGGTTCTGGAAGCAAATTCGTTTTTGGTCTCACTTAATCCTAGGACTCTTCTACAACCAGAACCCTCTTAGGGGCAGAGGTGCTATAAACCTGCTTAAGGGGTCCCGTTCACAGAGGCTGCAGGATAGAGCCAGGCAGCTCTATCACATGCTGTGGATGTGCCCAAGCAGATGGTCCCAGTGGCTACACTAAAGTCATCTAGGTGATCCACGGGGGCCCCTGGGACGACTGGGCCTGGCCCAAGATGTGTCCTGGTGGATTCTTCACCAGTGGGTTCTCCATCAAGATGAGGGCTCAGACCTAGGTCTCAAGAGGGTGGAGATGCGTGAGACCCCACAAAAGAGAATGGTAGTCTTTTTTTTCCATTCTTAAATGAATTATTTAATTTTTTACATGTGTTCATTAAAGACATACAGTTCCACAAGCTAGAAGCTTTAGCCTCCCAAGTTTATTTTATTTTTATTTATTTATTTTAAAGGGAGAAAGGGAAGGAGGGAGAGAGAGGTGGGGGGAGAAGAGGAAGGGAGGAAGAGAGAGATGGAGGGAGGGAGGGAGAGGAATGGAGGGAGGGAGAGGAAAACTAAGAGAAGGAGACACTGATTTGCTTCTCCACTTACTTATGCATTCACCCATCGCTTCTTGAATGTGCCCTGACAAGGGACCAACCCCAAACCCTGGCATATCAGGAAGATGCTAACCGGCTGAGTTCCTCTGCCAGGGCTCACTAAGTTTATTTTCAAAACACCAACTGATTTCATTCAGTAATAAATGAAAAGTAATGTATTCAGCATTTATTTATTAAATAATAAAATAGTTTGGTAGTCTTCTGAGTCGTCTTTACGCCTCTTTTCTCTGCCCAGGTGGAGCCCCCACCCCCTCCCCGGCCCAAGGCCTTCCTGGCGCCTATACAGCAATGAATGGCATCAGTCTGCACTGCGCCCCTGGGAATGCGACGCGCAACATTCGCGCAGTGGAGTCCCAGTCTGGAAGAGGGGGCGGGGCCAAGGATCCCCTGGGGTCGGCGCCCTTATCCTCGGTTACAAACAGCCCCCTCCCAGCTGGCAGGTTCCTCCAGAGCTGTGGGGCCCTTTACGCCTGGGGCGGGGGGTGGTAGACCTCCCCTCCGCACCTCAGTGCTTGTCAGGTTATTAGACCCAGCCAACTGGGTCGTGTAGCACCTGGCTCGAAAGTCCCAAGGGCTGGGTTGGGAGGGGGAGGGTACGGGGCTCCCGCAAAGCCAGTGAATCTCCCTTTCCCTCCTAGGTGGGGCGTGTGGAGCTGGCCGCTGTGGTGTCCCGAAGGCGGCTTCCTCGTGGCATTCTCCCTTCGCGGGAGCCCCATGAACCCTCGGACAACGCGGCTGCGAACAGCGTGCGTTTCCGCTGCTCGGCAAGCACGGAGCTGGCAGGGCCAGGGCTGGCGGATAGGCTTTGGAGGCTGGAGTTAGCCATGTGCCAAAGGCATATGCGGCTTGCAGATCGAGATCGAGCGGCCTAGAGGACTCCGCGATAACGCCGAGGTTAACGACGTGCGTTTTTTTCTGGCGCCGCAGCTGACACCCTCGCCCTGTCCCCGGCCCCACTTCCGGATTGTCCCACGACCCGCGATTAAAGCTTCTCTGCCCTTCGCTTTGGTCTCACTTGATTTAGGGGAAGGAAACTGCCTCTCCTAATCTTCCTCCTAACCCAGCTTTGGGCCAGGCTGGAGTTCAGGTTTGGTCTCAGGAGTCCATGCCAGGTTACTGAAAGTTACGGAAACATAGTTAAGAAAAACGGATTTAAACGCAATTTTGGGTCCAAGTTAAGGACGTTCCTGGCTTTCTGAGGGCGTTTGCAGACACATCATCCCCATTAATAGCCTAGGTTGTTTCTCCTCTGAACCACCAGTGACCTCAGATTAAGGAACTTCTACCAAATTGAGAGGTGACATGTTACAACACCTGGAGGCTTCTTCATTTTCCTAGAGCTTAATTGGTTAATATGTCCTTTCCGTAGTTGCCTTCTCCCTCCCCCAACCAAACACACACACTACACAACTCAAACCCTGGCTTTTCTATATACTGATTCCCGTTTAGGATCTTTGTCCTTGCTGTTCTCTCTGCCTGGAATCTCCCATCCATCCAGACGGTTAGTCCATCACCAGGTGTCAGCTCCAATTTCACTCTCTCGGAGTTTATCTTATTTAAAAAACATCCTCCATCAGTCAATATCGACCCTATTATCAACGTGTTTTTTAGAGAAGTGCTTATCAGCAGTTCATTTTTTGCCTCTTAAAATGGCCCATTTTCCAACCTTGAATGTTAAATTATTAGAAAGCACAGAATTTGCTTGTCTTATTAACTACTGTGTTTCCAGCGCACGATAACAGCTCAAACGGGGTTTCAGGGTTCCACACAGGAGCCCCAAGTCCCAGCGTATCTAGAGGCCTTCGGACGCTCCCCGTACAGGACACAGCCTGAGACGCGCAAGAGAGCTCAAATAGTTTATTCCGGGGGCGGGGGGCGGGGTCCAGGTGGGCGTCCAGCAGCGAGCAGGGCCGTCTGCGGAGCCTCAGTGACCAGCGTCCTGCGGAAGAGAGATCGTGAGGACGCAGCCTGGGAGCAAGTAGGTCCCCTCTAAAGCCCCTCCGCACTGCGTCCCACCTTCTTCCTGCAGTCGCCACAGAAGACACCAATGGTCGCGTTCACCACCTGCATCCCACACAGCAGGAGCTCCAGGCACGAGGCGGCCACCAGCACCGAGAAGAGCGTCACATTCCAGGTGACCACATTAGGCGGTTCAGCGCACAAACTCCATTGGGTACGGTTGAGCAAGTAAGAACCTCTGTGAACCACACAAGGTCACGTGAGAGACGGAGGTCACCGCGGAGAGCCCCCCTCCCGGTTCCCCATCGCGCACACGCGCCAAGGGGCATTTGCGAAGGTCTCGTCTGGCCCACGTGGAGGCAGATATCTCGAAGGCGAGTCCTGCCCAGGTGTCCGGGTCCATGTCTGGAGAGGCATAGAATGGGATGGGGAGGGCGCAAAATAAGACTAAGCCTTACGAGGTATCCTTGAAGTGGTAGTTCCATTCGCCGTCCATTAAGCATTTGGGTCCGATTCGGAGTCCGGTTCCTGATACTGAGAGACAGTAAATGGCACCAAGCACCCCGAACGCCGAGGAGAAGACGGAGCGCAGCATCTACACGGGGAGTGGAAGGAGAGGCGAATAGGGCCGCCCTTTCCCGTTCGTGGGCCGGCCGGCCGCTCCTAACTCTTCCTTCCCTTCGCCCCCCGCATTACCAAGCTCTTCTCAAGTCATGCTAAGACACACTTCGCGTCCAAACCCGCTGCTTGGAGTTAGGATAACCCAGAGAGCCAGTGGATGCAGAGATTCACGGGGGTTGTAGTCCCCTCTGATCAGGCCCAAGGAGGCTTAAGGCTGGCGGGGCTGGAAGAAAGGGGTTGTGGAGGTGGAGGGGGGAGAGGTGGATCCTAGGACTGCAGAACAGCGGGTGTAGCTAGGAAGAGGGAGTGGTGGCTTTAGGTTGGCTTTTCGTAGACCTGTTCAAAGACCATTCCTGAATCCCGTCTTAATTTGGACCTTACCCTGCAGCGATTTCCACAGCAGCCAGCACCGCAGCAGCCCTTGCCCCCAGCGCGAACAGCTGCAATTCCCGGACACAGTGCCTAGGGAACAAGAGTCAGCTTGACCGCACTTCCTCCAGATCCTCAAGACCTTATGTGCATCAGTGCTTATCTCGTCCCAGAACCTGCCTGTGACCTCCTCAGCCCTTTGGACTGGAGGGAGACCTTATCTGTATGTCTCCCGGGGCCCTTTCTCAATTAATCATAATTTACGTACCTACTTAATCTCTGACAAGATTGTAGCCTCCAGGAGGGTAGGGCCTAATATTATATTCCCAATGAATCTTGGCACATGTTAGGTGCCCAACTAAATGGGACTCAGGAGGCCTGTGTTTAATGCCAACCCATGTGCACTGCACATTCCATGAATTGCTTCATCTCTCAGGGTCTGTTTTGTCCTCTGTAAAATGGGTCTGCAAGACCCACTACCCAGGGCTCATCCCAGGATTTAATGAAATAACAGGTTGATGTGATGTCAAGACTAACTCAGAGTTAATGCTCAATAGCTCTAAATTCCCTTAGCAGCAGGAAGGAATAGTGGTGTTGGAGTGTCTGGGATCACGGTGGAGGGTGCAGGACAATGCTGGTGGAGGCGCTGATGGGAGGTGTAAGAATCCCCACATCCTGGTCTTCTTTGTCTTTCTTTCTCCCCCTGTGGCCTTCCTCACAGAGCCCATTCCCTCCAGGGCATCAGCTTCTCCCTCTACCAACGCTCACCTCCTAAATCACGCCTCCATTCAAATCTAACTGCCCAAAGGATATGTTCACTTGAATGTCTTGGTTTTAGCTCAGATCCAGCCAGCCTCATACTGACCTCACAATTTATTCCCCAAATGTGTCTCCCTTTGACTTTCTGGTCTCCATCAGTGGAGATATCTTCTAGGTCTCCCAGGCTGGAAAACCATGAATTCATTACACTCAGCCAGACCTCAAGTCCTCTCGACTTTTTCTTCAATGGCTCTTGAATCTGTCAGTTCTTTCTTTTTCTTCTGCAGTCAATCCCTAATCACCTCCCATGAGAATGCTGTTTTCAGGCCCCCTGAATCTCTTGCCCTAGGCCACCCCACACTCCATCCTAGTGCCACCACCCAGATTAAACCTAACTTTCAACTAGTCTTTTGTATGCTCACATCCTTAGAGTCTCCTTAAAGAGTAGCCCATCAAAACTCAACTCTGGCAAGGCGTTCAAGGCTCCTCACCTTGGCTCCAGCCTCACCTTTGTCGCGCCATGCCAGGTTTTTGGCCTACCTCACGTCTCTGAAATTCCACAGCTGTCTTGATCTTTGCCTCCCTGTGCACCTTGTCTGGCTCACAACACACAAAGCAGCATTTTGTTCTCCAGGGGAGGGGCTTAAAGTTTTAGTTCTGTTATATCACCCACAGTAGTCTCACAGAAACACCTGCAGAGTGGAACAGACTTTTCACCAGATGCTCTCTCCTCATCCATTTCATGACAGATCTAGGGCCAGTTCTGATCCTCCGGCTTAGCCTCTCTGGTTAGGCCACTTACTGGGAAGCTCATAGATCCAAAGACACCTAAAATTGCCTTTCGGATTTACCAATTTTGAATGAACTACCTATTTCAGATTTTTATTTTTGCAGTCAAAATGTTTCCTTCTTTTTGTTATCTGAGCTTCTGTCTCACTCTGTATATGCTCATCTTAAAGAAAAAAGATGGTAATTGTATATGTAGGAGGAAATACTGAGTTCACAGCTCAAATCTGCTTACTTTTCTCCATCTCTATGGCCACTGGCCTAGTTTAAGCCATTATCATCTCTCCTGGACAACTGCAGTGACCTCCCCCTGGCCTTTCTGTATGCACTGTTGACCTCCTACTGTCCATTCCCCAACAGCTACTAGAGGGATATTTTTAAATCCAATAGGGTATTGAGCACCTGGAACTCTCCTACTTTGCTAATGGAAATGGATTTAGTATGAGAGCTTCAGAAAACTCTTTGGTAATATCTAATAGCACCGAATATTCACACACCTTAAGAACCAGCAGTTTTACTCCTAGGCATACATCCAACTGAAACACAAACATTTATTCACCTAAGGACATTTACAGGGATATTTATAGCAGCATTTTTTTTTTGTAATAAACCCAAATTGGGAACTATCCAAATGTCCATTAACAGTAAAGTGTTTAAATTGTGCTATATTCACACAATGGGATGCATAAGAAATAATAAACTACAACTATGTGTAATAATACAGATGAACCTCACAAACATAATGTTGAGCTCAAAAAGACAGATACAAAAATGTCTATACACTATGATTCCATTTATATAAAGTACCAAACAGGCAATACTAATCTATGGGGTAGTGATCAGGATAGTTGGGACTCTCGTCAGTGGCAGGTAGTGTCTGGTGGGAGGCACATCTGGGATTCTGGTCACGACCTGTATCTTGATCTGAGTACTGAGTATGTGGCTGTGATCACTTTGTAAAAGTTCACTAGGCTGCACACTAAGGATCTAGCCAGTTGTCTGTATGACTTAAATAAAAGTTCAAAAACAAGTTTAAAGAGTTCATAAAATAACGAGTCCTTCAATAGTTTCTATTGTACTTATAATAAAATTCACATTTCTCCTGTGGCTTTCAAGAGTGTACGTGCTCTGGCCTCTACCTACCCAAGATCTCATTGCATTAAACCTCAATTGCAGGAACCACCTTTCTGATCCTCAGATATGCAAACCTGTTCCTGCCTTAGGCTTTGTACTGATCAGTCAGCTTGGCTGCAATGCTGATTCTTTTTTTGGGGGGGGTCTCAGTTCAGGCATCACTTCAATGAGGCCTTCCTTGAAAACACTATAAAAAGTGGCCCCCAACTTTGCCCTAGGAGCTCTGAAGGCCAGCTCCCTGCTTTTTAAATTATTTTTTATTTTTCTTATTTATTGATTTTAGAAAGAGAGAGGAAAAGAAAGAGAAAGAGAAAGAGAAAGAAACATCAATTTGTTGTTTCACTTATTTATACATTCATTGGTTGACTTTTTGTATGTGCCCTGACCGAGGATCTAATCCACAACCTTGGCATATTGGGAGGATGCTCTAACCAATTGAGCTGCCCAGCCAGGGCGTTGGTTTTGTTTTCTTGATGATACCTATTGCTACCTTGCTCATTAGAATGACTGATCTATGATGGCTCCCTGGCTCCAGATATTGTCAAAACATGCCATCCTCCCTGCCCATTCTTATCTTGCTCTGATAACCTCCCACACAATCAGCTGTTCCTTCTCCCTCTTCAACCCTTGTATCAGGGTGTTCCCAACATCTGTTCAGCATGGTGATGGCAAGGGGCAGGTAGGACATTCTCCCTTCCCAGAAGGGAAGCTGCTTAGAGCAGTGAGACTTCCTTCTTCTTCCCCTTAGACATTCAGCTTAGCACCCTGGGGCTCCTCTAGGATGTTCACACAGTGCTCGGTGTTTGGGAACAGATTCAGAGGACTCCAGGTCTCCACCACACCACTTCCCTTCCCAGGCAGCTGTCCTTTTCTCTATCTCCTTCCCCCTTCTGTCCAGAACACCCCAGAGTGGTGCCCAGCCCCCGGCCTACGTTCCCTTGCTAGCCTTCTCACCATCAGTCCCCCGCCGATGAAGCCCGCCATGAGCCAGACTTGCAAGCTGAGATTTTTCATGTTGGTCCAGGTGGTCTCTCCATTAGGCACCAGCAGGAGGGCGTTGGCCAAGATGCAGATCAGGGAGAGGGAGATGAGGGAGAGCCCCACACAGCGGGCACACTTTCCAGTGCACATGCTGACAGGCAGTGAGTGAAAGTGAGCCCGAGGCTAGGTGGGTGGACAGGAAAACAAGCCTGGAGCCAGGAGCAAAGGTCAGGGAAGAGGTGTGGCAGAAATCAGACAGGCAAGATCGATGATAAGGGAGAGAAGCAGGAGACAAAGGCAAAGAGGAGGTGGAGGTGGAGGGGCTGCTTGCTGTCCCTGAGGTGAAGGGGAGGATGTGGTGGAGAAGGTCGGGGAGCTTGACACAGAGGAAGTTGCTGGGGGTCAGCGTGTTCTTCCCCTTTTTTCTGCACATACCTCTCTTCAGCCTATCTGTTGATTGCTTACCTGCTTTGTGACTTAATCAGGACTCTTAATTTCTTTTTTAAAATTTTATATTTTATTGATTATGCTATTACAGTTGTCCCAGTTTTTCCCCCTTTGCCCCCCTCTGCCTGGCACCTCACACTCCCTCAGGCAATCCCCACACTTTTGTTCATGTCCATGAGTCATGCAGATAAATTCTTTGTCTACTCCATCTCCTATACTGTACTTTACATCCCCGTGGCTATTCCCTAACTACCTATTTGTACTTCTTATAAGATCCCCTCACCTCTTCTCCCATCCCCCACACCTGCCTCCCATCTGGCAACCATCAAAACACCCTCCATATCCGTGATCCTGTCTCCGTTCTTCTTGTTTGCTTAGTTTGCTTTTTTTAGATTCACTTGTTGATAAATATGTATTTATTGCCATTTTATTGTTCGTAGTTTTGACCTTTTTTTTCTTGAATAAGTCCCTTTAACATTTTATATAATAATGGTTTGGTGATGAAGAACTCCTTCAGATTTTTCTTGTCTGGGAAGCTCTTTCTCTGCCCTTGGATTCTAAATGACAGCTTTGCTGGGTAGAGCAATCTTGGCTGTAGGTCCCTGCTTTTCATGACTTTGAATATCCCTTGCCAATCCCTTCTAGTCTGCAAAGTTCCTTTCAAGAAATCAGCTGACAGCCTTAAGGGAGCTCCCCTGTAGGTAACCAGCTCCTTTTCTCTTGCTGCTTTTAAGATTCTCTTTTCATCTTTAACCTTTGGCATTTTAATTATGATGGGTCTGGGAGTGGGCCTCTTTGCATCCATCTTGTTTGGGACTCTCTCTCCTTCCTGGATTTGCATGTCTATTTCCTTCACCAAATTAGCAAAGTTTCTTTCATTATTTTTTCAAATAGATTTCCAATTGCTTGCTCTTTCTCTTCTCCTTCTGGTACCCTTATGATGTGAATGTTGGAATGCTTGAAGTTGTCCCAGAGGCTGCTTACACTGTCCTCGTTTTGGTTTTGTTTTGTTTTGTTTTGTTTATTTTGGATTGTCTTTACTTCTTGTGGTTCTGGTTGCTTGTTTTTGCTTCGTTATGTTCCAAATCATTGATTTGATTCTCAGCTTCATCCACTGTACTGTTGTTTCCCTGTAAGTGGACTGGATCTTTTTTATGCTGTTGAGTTCCTCACTAAGTTCCTTGAGCACCCTTATAAACAGTATTTTGAACTGTGCATCTAATAGATTGCTTATCTCCATTTTGTTTAGTTATTTTTCTGGAGTTTGATCTGTTCCTTCATTTGGGCCATGTTTCTTTGTCTCCTCATTTTGACAACCTCCCTGTGTCTGTTTGTGTTAGGCAGAACTGCTATGACTCACTGTCTTGTAGCATGGCCTAATGATTAGGTGTTCTGTAGGGTTCAGTGGCACAGCCTCCTCTATCACCCAAGCTGGGCACTTGAGGTGCACCCTTTGTGTGGGCTGAGTACACCCTCCTCTTAAAGTTGAGCCTTGATTGCTGTTGGCAGGTCAATGGGAGGGATTTACCCAGGCCAGACAGCTGTAGGACTGGCTGTGGCAATGACCCCCAACCTCTACCCTCCGTGGAGGATTAACTGTGCAGGGGCAGGGTAATGGTGCTCTGATATGGTCGATAGCTGTCCACTGGGCATGCAGGCTTTGGGGTTTCCTGGGCGGTTCAGGCCAAGTTCAGCCCCAACCTGTGTTCTGTCCAGGACCACCCTGCATGAGCTCTAAAGCAATCTGAGATGGCTGCTACTTGTGCTGGTCTTGGAGGTTCCCAGGCAAAGTCAAGCTGTGAATCTAGGCTGGCTGCTGCTAGTTTGGGCCTGGGACCACCTAGCAAGAGATACAGAGTAGTCTTACTGAGGCAGGCTCTTTATCCTTTGATAGGATTTAGGAAGTTGTGAAGTGTGAGCTAAGACCAGCCATTCTCATACATGAGTGGGATGGAGTCTCAGGGATATCCAGGATGGGAGCAATCAGTGTTAGCCAGGTTGATAGAGTCTCAGATATGGCACCTACCTGCCAGCTCTGTGGCTCCGTGGCAGAAAGGCTCAGAAAAAGGACAATGGCCTCTCCCTGTCTTTCTGTCTTGGGGAAAGCTATCCCTGAGCTCTCCCCTTGATGCCAGATACTTCAGCTCCTTCCTGTATGCCACTGGTGCCTTTTAAGCTGCTACCCCAGTGCTGGAGTTCAGAGGGAATGAGTCTGAATAAGTCCATGTGTGGGTTCTTTAAGGGCAACTGCTTGGGACTCCAGAAGTTTCTTCCAACAACTCAGTCCCCATTGGTTTTTGCAGCCAGAAGTTATGAAGACTTATCTTCCTGGCACTGGAGCCCTAGGCTTGGGGGCCTGGTGTGGGGCTGGAACTCCTCACCAGGTTATGGGGAGATAACCTTCTCATATTTTTATCCACTGTACATGGATGTGGGGACCAGCCCATTCTGTGTCTCCACCCCTCCTACCAGTCTGGATAGATGTGATTTCTTTAATTCTAGTTGTCAGACTTCCATTCCTCTTGATTTCTGACAGCCCTGAGTGATGGTTGTTTTGTATTTTAGCTGTAATTTGATGTGGTTGTGTGAGGGGGCAAGCTGTGTTTACTCATGTCGCCGTCTTGACCAGGAACCCCTTTTTATTTCTTAAACGTACTCTGCTCCTTCTGCCAGGAGAGTTCTATTGAAAACCTTCCTGAAAATTCCTTTTAAATCCTACAGTAAACAATTCTCAAGAGTTCTGTTTCTTTCTTTCAGTCTTCAGGATGATGTATCCCTCCCTTTATTTTTAGAAAAAATTTTAAATCCCTATAATGTTTTTTAACATTACTGACATTATTTCACAAATACAGAACAATGTAAAATGTAATGTAACGAGTACCTGTGAACCATCTCCACTCACAGCTTGTTTTCTCCTTACTTCTTCTGAAAAGAAATACCATCTCTCGGACTCAGTATTGATGAACTTGTAGGCAAAAATGCAGCTTGCTCTTGGCCCCACTCTCTATCCATTGGGGCAATGGCCAAATGCCTTCCCCAGGTTCAGCACTACTTCTGCTGACTCAGCAGAACCTCTTGTCATCTGCCTCTCCCAGCATCCAGATTCCCCACTTGTACTCTTCAGGCTTTATGTGTCCTCTTCCTACACTGCTTCATAGTTCTCTACACAATTGTCCTTGTATGGCTTCAGCTTGTTTATGGTTTTAATTGCCTTGTGGCTTTTGCTCTCACTCCCTGCTTTCATATTTTTCTGGGTTTTGGGCCACTCTTTCTTCTGATGACTCAGGTTGTCTCACAGTCAAGTTTCTCAAGAATAAAGATCCAATTTGCTGGGCAGTCATCATTAAGTGAGGCACCTCTGGTGAGCAGAGCTCTTTTTAAGCTACTTCATACGTCTCTGGCCATGGGTCTGCTACTCATTCCTAGATCAGTCAGCTATGGCCTAGATGATGGGGTTTGTGTCCGTCAGCTATTGCTGCGGAACGAAAACCCCCACAAAGTCTTAGTGACATATAGGTATTTCTCAAGAGTTCTGAGCATTTATTTCATTCATACATGTACGGGTTGGTTAGAGATCCACTGACACAGGTTGGGATCTGATCTGGGCCTTTCCCTTGTACCTTTCACCTTCCTTTTACCAGTGGGCTAACTTGGGCATGTTATTCCCATGGCAGTAATGGGGCACAAGATGTCAAGTAGCAATACATAATACCTCTTAAGGCCCAGGCTCAGAACTGGGATAGTGTTACTTCTGTCCACATTCCATTGTGTCTATATGGTTAGAGGTACAGTCTGCCTCTAGTGGGAGGGACAAAAAAATGTCATAGCAAAGAGTATGAAGGACTGAAGAACTGAAGCAGATCATTCAATTTTTACCTCAAGATCACATGCTCATATATCCAAAAGCTATAAAGCTAATAAGCATGGCAAACCATCAGTACAGACCTCTGCAAAGTAAGTTGCAGGAATGATGACAGCCTAAGGCTTCTCAGAGAGAGGCAAGGCAACAAGTTAAAGGATGCTCTTGCAGCACTTACAAGTATTCACTATCAGGATTTAAAATATGCTTTTGCCCTTGTTGGTGTGGCTCAGTGGGTTCAGCGCCAGCCTATGAACCAAAGGTCTCAAGTTTGATTCCTGGTCAGGGCACACGTCTGGGTTGTGGGCCAGGTCCCCAGCCAGAGGCATGCAAAGGGCAGCTGGTCAATGTATCTCATACATCGATGTTTCTCTTTGTTGCCCTCTCTTTCCCCCTCCCTTTCCATGTCTCTAAAAATAAATAAAATCTTTAAAATATGCCTTTTAAAACACAAGAGGATGAAAAAAAACTCATGATAAGAGACAGAAAATTTAATGAAATGAGACGTCATAAACAACATGGAGCTCTGGCCAGTGTGGTCAGAGCATCGTCCTGCACAGTGGTGTGTAGGTTCAATTCTCTGTCAGGGTGGTTTCTCTCTCTCTCTCTCTCCACAACCCCCCCCCCCCCCCCCCGCCCCGCCGCCTCCTCACTTTTACTCTCGCTAAAAGCAATGAGGAAATGTCCTCTGCTGAGAATAAAAAAATAATACATGGAGCTCCTACCTGGAGCTACTGCACGGACCGTGTTAGCACAGAGCCCAACTGGTCAGGAAAATTACAGATATGCAGCTCACCATCTTTGCCAACATGCTGGGTATGTTGCTCTTTCTGCTTGTCTTCTCTATTGCTACCGTGATTGT